CGAGAGTGTGTGTGTGTGTGTGTGTGTGTGTGTGTGTGTGTGTGTGTGTGTGTGTGTGTGTGTGTGTGTGTGTGTGTGTTGGGGGAGAGGTGGATTGCGATGACGCGATGCAGAAAAGGGAATCAAGGGCATGGTAAATGAGGGGGAGCAGCAGCAAGGTGAGGAGGGAAGCACAGCGGCAATTGGGTTGGTGATCAATCAATAACGAGCTGCAGTCATGCATTATACACACGCACACACACACGCGCACACACGCACACACACACACACACATGAGCGCGTCGGACGAACGCAAGCGCACAAGCCACGCATCAGCCAACCAACCAACGAACGAACCTCAATTTGCTTGTCCTTGGCCTTCAGGTCCGCTCTCAGCAGTGACATGTTGCGGCTGGAGGGCGTCCGTGAGCCCGGCTTTGTTCCCGTGGTCCCACTCGTGCCGTTGTTTGCACGACTGCAGTGTGCCAAACACAAAAGTCGAGACAAGACCGTGAGAATAGACCGTGAGAATAGACCACGTAGGTGGTTAACACAAAACAGCAACATTAAGTGCTCGCAAGGACAAGAGGGTGAGAGGATAGCCCATGGGACAAGAGAGCACACATGATACACCGTCGCTCGTACATGGGTGATGGCGGGACACTACTTGTGAACGACGATCCAGCAGTTGCAATAGGGTTGGTGATGCCCTTAGGTGCGGGCGGTGCCGTGAACCTGAAGAAGATGTTCACATGCACACAAGCATTAATCACACATGAGGCACTGCAGCACACACAACAAACCCGCACGGCAACACACAGCACAAACGAGGGCACAGCTCAAACAAGGCACAGCCCAACAGCAACAGCCAAAACACAATTCCCAAACATCCGGCACCCCCTCTACACACACACACACAAACAAACAAACAAACAAACAAACAAACAAACAAACAAACAAACAAACAAGCACACACACACACACACACAAACACACACACGCACGCATGCACCACCCGGCATCAAGCACCAGCAGAACACCAGCGACTACGCACGCTGGAGGAGCGGCGACGGTTGTGGACAACGCGGAGGAAGCAGGGGCGCTGTCATCGCCTATGGCTGGGCGACCCGGCATTTGCAGAGCAGGCGGCACGCGGCGAGTTGCCAACGGCGAACTTGTCGTGTCGTCTGCTTGTTTGTCTGCTGGCGTCGATGCCGCAGTTTCTGCGGCTGCTGTTGCTGATTTTGTTGTTGTTGCTGCTGGTTGGTCTGGTGGAACAACGGCCGGCTTGCCGCCCTGCTGTGTCGGCTGTCGCTGCTGCGGCGTGTGCTGCCCATCCTGCTTCGTGTCTGCAGAAGGCGCCTTCTTCTCAGATGCCACAACGCGAGGCACCTGCAAGGGCGCCTTGGCCTTGTTGCCATCCGCCACAGAGCTCACAGAAGCGCGCGAGCCAACAGACTGCTTGCGTAACGCTGGGACAACACGGCCCTGCTGCTGCTGCTGTTGTTGCTGTTGTTGTTGCCCCGATGAACGTGTTCGCTTCTGCTGTGCCAGATCTTGACGTTGCTTGCCTTGAGCACCACCTTCATTTGCCGCCAAAACATTGGTTGCTTGTGCTGTCGCGTTGGACGCACGACGACTCTGCACACCGCCACCCTCTTTCCCTGCAACCCTCTGTACCCCACCGCCTCCTACGCCCCCACTTCCTCCTCGCGCACCACCACGGTCCCCGCTGCTGCCATCACCCCCACCGCCCGTGTTGCGTGCGGGGCTGGGTAGTGCAACTGCAGGCGCCTTGAGCGTCGGGTTCTGCACAAATGATCCTTGCGCCGACTGCCGCGACGGCGCTGCTGCCGTCCCCACAGCTGTTGCCGCCGTCGCTGTGTTCGTCTGCTGTGCGCCTGTTGCCCCGCCCACGCTTGGGCGAGTCATCTTCTGCAGCACCGTTACGGTGCTGCTGGTGCGCAGCTTGATGCTCTGCGATCGAGAGTTGATGGGTGTGCGGATGGCAGCCATGGCGCCCTGCCCGACCTTGGGCAGCTGCGTGCTCCTCCTGTCCAGTACTGGGAAGAAAGGCGCTGCGATGGATGGTGGCGTGGATGGCAGGCTCGGCCGGCGAATGCCAATGGACGCGCGACTCGCCGTGCTCGCCTGTCGCCGCAGCGGTGCCGGTGCTGGTGCTGGCCTCACACCGTGCCCAGCACCATGTACACTGGGCGACCTGTTTGGCGGGAGGCGTGTTGGCGGCGGTGGTGGGCGCCGTCTTGATGGTTCTGCAGGCGTGTGTCCTTTCGACTGCAGGCCGCTCTCCACACGCGCCTTGGACGGTGTTGCTCGGGCGTCCGCCTCCCCACGCTGCTGCTGCTGCTTGCCCTGCTCCTTGGTCTGCGCGCCCGCTGCCTCATCAAAGGGGTCCGATGTCAAATCCTCTGCCAGCCACGTCTGCGACGAGGAAACGAGTGCCTCACCCTTCTCGTCCAGCGAAATGTCGTTTGCCACGCCCATGCCGGCGTCCCCGCCCTGGCTCATGTTCTGCCGGAACGATTGCGTGCGCATCGTCATCCCCAGCACAGACTCGAGCGGGTCCGACGGAATCTCCATCAGCACAGCAATGCGGTGTTTGCAGGCGGCGATACCACGCACGATGCTAATCAGATCCATGGACAGTCGCGACGTTGTCGAGTTGCCATCATCATCATCGTCGCCATCATCGCTGCCACCATCAGCGTTACCACCATCTCCCTCAACGTCTGCAAGCGTCTCTTCATCACTAACACCACCATCACCGTTGGTGGCAGCACGGTCGCTGTTTTCCACCGGTGCTTGTGCGGCATTTTGCGTTGTCCCGTCCTTCCCAGAACCTGTGTTTTCACCCTGCGCACCAGCCGCATCCCGCGCCGCGCTGTCCTTTGCCATCTTCTTCTCCTTCTCCTTAGCTTCCATCTCTTTCTTCTCCCTCTCCCTTTTTCTCCTTCGCTTTTTCCTCTTCTTCCTCTTCCCCCGACCACCACCACCACCACCACCACCACCACCACCACCACCATCGTCATCACTACCACCATCACCGTCAAGGTCCCCACCATCCTCGTCAATCGCCTCCATCATGTGCTGCTCTTCTTCATCGGACGGCAAGTCGTCCATCCCCGTCAGCCGAATCCAGCTGGGCTGTGTCAGGTCCTCCACCGTTTCGTCCTGGCACTCCTTGGGCTTGAAGCCCAGGCCCCACGCAAACAGGCGCGTGTAGTCGTCCAGCGACATGACGCCGTGCTTGGTGACGACGTCCTTGCCAATGGCAGAGACCACCACAAACCCGTTGCCCACCGCTGCCTGCTTCACCTGGTAGTCGGCCAGCGTGTACTTGACAGACTTTGGCTTCTCCCACGCCTTGAGCGGCTTGCACGTCCCATTGCCCAGCTCGCCCTGCTTGTTGCTGCCCATGGTGTAGCACTTGCCCGTTTCCGTGACCACGCACGTGTTGCTCTCCCCCAGTGCCACGTGCACGGCCTTGCCGCGCCCCGTGATGCTGTTGACGAGCGTAAACGCGTCTGCCTGGTCGATGGTTGTGCGGCGAAAAATGCCAAAGGTGGAGTTGATGCCCAGCTTGTTATTCTTGTTGCAGCCGGCAGCCAGCAGCCGCCCGCCCTCCATGAGGATCATGGAGGCGTTTGGCCCGCAGAACACGCGCCGTGGCTTCATCACCTCCGGCAGATCCACCTGCCGCGGCACAAGCGACGTCGGCTGCTGCGTGCGCGAGTGCCCGAGCTGCCCGCAGTCGTTTGCGCCCCACGTGTACACGCGCGCATCATCCGTGATGGCAGCCATGTGGTGCTCCCCAACGGCCACAGACTTGACCTCCTGCGACAGCAGCTTCTCCACAAGCTTGGGCCGCATGCACGTGCTCGTGGTGCCGTGGCCAAGCGCCCCCGTGTCGGAGCGCCCGCACGTCAGCAGCATCCCGCTGTGCGTGAGGAACGCGCTGCACTGCCCGCCTGCCGCAATGGCAACGGTGCCTCTGTCGCCCAGCGCAGCCACGCGCTCGGGGTGGGCGCGCGGGGTGGTGTCGCCGAGGCCAAGCTCGCCCCACGAGTTCTGGCCCCAGGCGTATATCTGGTGCTCCATATCCAGAGCCAGGCAGTGTTCCATGCCGCACACGACCTGGGTCACCTTGCGGGAGCTGCCAAACTGCACGCGGGAGATGGTGGTCTCGTGCACGTTCCAGTAGAAGACGGAGGACTCCATGGGGTGCGACGGCGTCTGCTGCTCCTTGCTGCCGCTCTCTGCCGTCTCTGCCGTCATGCTTGGCAGCTGCAAGTTGCGCAGGATGGGGCGGTTGAGGAGGTCTGTGCACGTTGGCCGCCGCGCCGGGTCTGTCTGCAGGATGGTGGCCACCATCTGCTTCAGCTCGTCGGAGTACGGGCCCTCCATCCCCGCGTATCGCGCGCGCATGATCTTGTGCACCAGCGCGGGCAGGTTGTTGCCCTGGAACGCCTTCTGTCGCTCTGCCATCTCGTACAGGATGCAGCCGAGGGACCACACATCGCTCTTCTCGTCGTACGGCAGTCCACGGCACAGCTCGGGGGAGATGTAGTAGGGCGTGCCCACGATTGTGTGCGCGTGCTTGTCGTGCGTGCTGACGGCCTTGGAGATGCCAAAGTCACCCAGCTTCACCACGCCCTGCTTGGTGAGGAAGACGTTCTCGACCTTAAGGTCGCGATGCAGGATGTGCAGGCTGTGCACGTACTCGAGGGCCTGCACCAGCTGCTTGAAGATGCGCAAGATCTCCTCCTCCGGGATGGGCTCCTTGCTTCTGTGGATCATCTGGTCAAGCGTGCCGCCGTCAGCGTACTCCATCTCAATGTACAGCGTACCGTCCTTCTGGTACTTGTCGTAGAGGCTGATGATGTTGGGGTGGTCCACAAGCATGCTGAGGAGCTTTGTCTCGTTCATGGCCAGCTCGCGATCGTGCGGCTTCATGTCGTGCAGGTTGATTTCCTTGAGGATGACGAGGGCGCTGTCGGTCT